CTTGATTTTGTAAATTGTCTGCGTATTCTACAATTGTTACTTCTACTAGATCGCTTCAGCTCAAAATTTAAAGGAGGGTGGTGAAAATTAACAATATCTTTCCCTTTTGAGATCTTATACATTTGAATTAGATCACCTCTTTTTCTTCTATCAAACAAAGTTGGCAATTCAAGTATCTTTAATCTTTTTTCATACGACTTCCCCCTTAAAGATTCAATTCTCGTAGCCCTGTGTTGCACGATTTCAAGATTGTCAATGTCCTTTTTCCAAAATGGACTCCAACCTGTTGCTCCATATTCCAAATGGGGACGTACTAACAATTTGTATAGTAACTTTAATGAAAATTCATCCAAATACTCAAAAGAGTTTTTGATCATGCCTAATTTTCTGTTTGCTTTAGCTATAGCTGAATTAATATGATATTTCCACTCTAGATTATTTGAAATGAAAATCCCAAGATCATTTTCTATCACTGTTTCTGTTAAAACAGAGTTGTTCAATTTATATTCATATCTTGGATTCTTTTTGCCAATATACATGACTTTACATTTTGATTCAGTAAATGTAATTAACCAATCTTCAGACCATTTAACTAACCTGTTAATATCCTCTTGAAATATTTTATTATCATCATAACAATGATTAATTGAAATAACTTTGGTATCGTCTGCATATAACTTAGTGTCTTTAATAACCCCTCTACATAAGTCATTAATGAAGATTACAAACAAAAGAGGTCCGAGTACTGAACCTTCTGGTACTCCACTAGTAACCATCTTCCAACTTGAAATATATTTCCCTATCACAACCCTCTGTGTTCGGTCTGACAAAAATGATTTACACCAATTTAATATAGATGATACAAATCCTAGTCTAAATAATTTTTTCAGTAATTTTGTGTGAGAGACTGAATCAAATGCTTTTTTAAAATCCAAAAATAAAACATCAACGGAAATATCCTCTTCATACGCTTGCGTGATTAAATCTAATATTTCTAACAGGTTTGTTATACAACTTTTGTTATTAACAAAACCATGTTGCTCTTTAGAAATTAAATTGTTTTCAATGAGGAACACCATCATATGATCTTTAATAACTCTCTCTATAACTTTACCAACAATTGATGTTGATGAAACCGGTCTATAATTTGTTGGATCTAGTTTATTTCCTTTTTTGAATAACGGAACAACGTTTGCACATGACCATAACTTTAGAATAGATGCTGTAATAAACGATTTAACAAATATTATTGCTAAAGAACTTAACAAAGATTAAAACTTTTGGGTGAACATTATCTGGACTTACTGATTTGTACATGTTTAAATTACTCAAATGTTTCTGAATAATAGAAATACTAAAATCTGGATCAGAACATTTTGTTAAAAGATTGTCGTCTAAAACTTCTTCTGATGAGTCATCTTGTATAAACACAGAAGCAAAGAATTCATTAAGAGTGTTTACTATCTCTTGATTATCAGTAGTTATAGTACCATTATGTAGCTTTATGGCTTTGATCGAGCCTTTAAATCTTGTTTTGTTGTTTATATAAGCATAGACACTTTAGGATTGTTTTTTGAATTAAGTGCCAAGTTTTTTTCAAAATTGCGAATACTTTTCTTGACAAGTTTTTTTATATCTTTATTTAATTTTTTATACTTATTGACTTCTAAAAGACTTTTAAAACGCTTTATAGTTTCCATTTTTCCTCAAAAATTTTTTCTTCCTCGTTTGTAGTGATATTAATAAATAAGGTTTATTTTCATAACCAAATCGAAATTTCAAAATATGATGACTATGATTGATACCACCTAACGGTGGAAAATGTTCAAGAAAATAAACTCTGTTGCTATTATCAGTTAAAATGAGGTCTAAAATGTTAGTATCAATACCAAACTTTACTTGAAAACTAGGACTGATAAGATTTTGGTGCAGGTAACAGTCATGTAACGACTCAATAAACATACTTGCTGTTGTGTCACTGTCATTTATAATTTCACTAAAACTTTCATCGTTCCACTTGATGTTTGCATAGTTAAAGTCACCACATATTAAAATACCAGAGCATTTGTTATTTTGTTTGAGTACATATGCTTGTTTTAATGATTTTATAATGTCAATACACTTTTCACTATTACTAAGACCTGTCCGGTACATACAACCACATAAGATTTCCTCTTTGTTAATTTCAATCAAACCCCATACTTGCTCAATATTTTTATTTATTAGATATTTTTCATTAATTTCATAAGATTTAATATTCTCTTGTTTATAAATACATACGCCACCACCACGACTAAATTGACGATCTTTTCTAAACAGATTATAACCAGGAATATTAGTAGTAGACATTGCTGACCACCAAGTCTCACAAGCAAATATAACTTGAGCCTTAAATCTGGATATATCATCAATGAAATCGTCAAATTTATTATTTAAAGAGGTCGCATTTGTATGCCAACATGTTAAATAATCGATATTTTCTGTTTTTAAACCTTTTTGAAGGTCTTGATTCATTTTCTTTACCAGCAGTGTATTAGCACTGGAATTCAAATGATTACTACCTCCAATGTCTGCATCAGGGTTATTTAATTGGTTATATAGATATTGACAAGGTGTATGTAAAGAATGTTTAAAATTATGTGTGTTATACTGTGATGACTTGAACAACAATTGCTATTTGTTTATCAACACTACTTGTTTATTTCTAATTACGTGATAGCTTTTTACTTGGTCCCAATCGACTTTCAGGTTGAGTGGTTTATTTAATTCTCTACATTTATCCCTGAGTTGTTTATCCAAGTTTCTCTGAGCATCAGTTAAATCAGGATTTACATAAATATCATTAAACTTACGGTATGATTTTTTTATAAAGTCATTTCTCGTGTCCTTATTTCTTAACTCGACAATTACTGGTGCAATACCATTTTTAGATTTTAATCTAAAAATACGAACCATTTGAAGTTTATCTATTGATACTTGATCCAATAAATCTAATACTTTGGTTTCGTCATCTTTCTTTATATCTGCGCCATCAGTTTTATTGGATTCTTCTAAACCAAAAATAATTACGTTCTTCTCTCTTCGTTCAATTTCTTTATTTTCATTTGAAACTGTATTAATAATATCAATCTGAAATTGAGTTTTATTTAATTTTTTACCAGTTACAATATTCCAAGCTTCATTCGGAGCTGGAACAATAACATTTACAACTTTGTTGTTTAAATCTTCATTCTATTTAGTTAAATCAGCAACTGTTAATACTAATGATTGTATTGTTTTTTTCAAATCTGCTACAGCATTACTAATCTTTGATTGATATTCAATTCTTAGTTTACTCTTTAGTTTTTTAGTTTACTCTTCAGTGCATACAGAGCGTCTTTGAATTCTTTTGCATTAACCATAATATATTAGTTATAATATAGTTAACCTTATTAACACAAATTTAACGTCAAGTTTTTTTTGTGTTTTTTCCGTTCCGAATTATGTAATATATATTTGATCTGGCGCTGTACTAACAACAAAAAGTATATATCTAAATACATTACTGAAGCCATAATAGCTATTTGCACGACTTTTATAGAAAAATTAACTCTACCATAGTTTATCTGAATCTAACGTGACATTGTTGTTAAGCACAATCATTTAGGTGTTGTATTGAAAGTAATAACTTCAATTTTCATAAAAAAATGGTTTTTCATGGATAATTTTTCCAAACAATGTCTGATAATAAATTTCAAGTTACATTCATTGAAAACAAACACCAATACGTGCTTTTATGAAAAAATCATATACAAAGACTTATCTATAGCCAAGCCCAAAGGTACTTTATGTTTAAAACTACATCTTTTCTAAATAAAACTACGCATGATTATTTGTTACAGTCGCATTAATTTTACCAGATCATAATAGTGGTTAAAATAATCTTTCTATACATACCAAATATATCATACTTTTTAATGAAAAAACTTACATATATTGCAATTGAAAAAACTTAAATTTTTGTTCAGAAAAACGTGTATCAAGCCTTAGTTGCATTGAGTACATTGTTACATTGGATTTATACGGCAATAATAAAAATTCTCTTTTATAATAAAAAACCGGTGTAAAACCGACAATCTGGTTTTAAAATTAAAAAAAACGAAAACCGGTTTTTTGAAAATTTCCGGTTTTTGCCAAACCCTACCATAAGATTATATTGAGATTATGACATGTTATCAAAAGTTTTGTCATAAATTGATATCAATGTGATGTAATTTAGATATAAAAAGTTTCTCATGGTTCTATATTAAGTCGTAATCTCATGTACATTATGAGCCTGGGAAGGAATATGCTGTCAAAAATTGGTTTTTGTAATTAATGCACTTTGTTAGATCACCCATAACAAGCGTGGCCTTAGGTCTGCCGTAAAATGTATAAGTTATTTGTTTCCTTATACGTGTATCTTCCAAAATCTGAAAAAAACCCATGTGCTCCAGCGATAAAAAACCTTCAAATGTTTTAGAAGTTTTCTTATTTTGCCACATTCTTAACTAATAAAATACACTAGCAATGGTATTCATATGTTTAATTTTTTTTTAGGTACCTCAAAAAGTCTTTACGGACTTATCACAGATTACTGCAGAAAAGCATTTGAAAGAAAGTTCACACCTTCTATCTTATTGATGTTATAAAACTTGTTCAGAGGTGGTATTGAATCAGGAATATCTTAGATTGCTTAGCATCAAATTATAAAAGATAGATTTATAACGGAACCGTACAAGAGTGCTTGATAAAAATTATTTTCTAAGCTTTTCTAATGTGAAAAAATACAGGTCAAGTAATGCAGTATGCTGCATTACTTGAACCAATAGATGTGAGCAAACCCTTGTTAACATACTCTGTCTTGCTGATGCTCTGTCGACCAAAGTTTAAATTAATTTTCCGTTGTTTAAAAAATCTTTATTTTAAATCAGATAACGCATCATCTAATCATGGAAACTTTTTCTAAGAGGTTCTTTACAATGTTTGCAAAGCAAAGCAATTTTTCCTTAAAAGGTATGTTTACAAAGTGCATTTACGTGGAAAACATAAGTGCGATAGAGGGTCAGCAGGAGCAAAAAGTATCATTAGGAGTATTGTTGATGTCAGAGAGAATTTATTTACAGCAAAAAATCTTTATAAGGCTCTTTATATTGGTTAAAGGATTCTAATTACTGATGTTGCTGAAGTAGTTATAACTCCAAAGCTTCTATTTTATTATCAGTGTCGCGCTCACTAGCGCGGCAACGACTTCTTGTTATTTGTTTTATATTATCCCGCGCTTTCTCTCTAACTCTTACTCTGCTTCTACGCGAACGTTGTAACTTCTTGAGCACGTTTTTACATTATTGTACATTATTATACGAGAATATATTAGTATACATATTAAAACATGAAGAAATAACCTTACTGATTGAGGATGAGGACGAGTTAGAAAATGAAGTAAAATTTTCTACAGAATTTAATCTAGTATTCAAAAGTGAAATTTCTAAAATTAATAAAGAGTTAAAGAAACTCGACATTAAAACTGACTGCAATAGTAAATTTAGTAACTTTAAAAACAAGACAGTAAAATTACCTGTTTTAAAATTAGATAATTTTGATGGAGAACCTGAAAAGTGGACATCTTATTTTGAATGTGCTATAGATATGAACAATGATCTGTCAGAAATTCAAAAAATGACTTATCTTCGAAACTTGCTAAAAGGTTCAGCTTTGTCATCTATTTCAGGTCTCAGTTTATCCAATGAAAACTACAAAATAGCTTTAAACATCCTTAAGGAGCGTTATGAAAATAAGCAGAATATGATATCATTCCACATGAGAAAACTACTGTCATTTGAAAGAGTGCATAGTTTAAATAGAATTGAAAAATTAAGACATTTATTAGTTAATATAGAAATACAAATAAGGAGCCTCGAAACTCTTAAAATTACAAGTGAAATGTATGGACCATTACTTGTTTCGATTATACTACAGAAAATACCTGAAGAACTGAACTTAATTATAAACAGACAACTCGATAAAAACAGTTCATGGGATGTCTTAACCATCATTAATATTTTAAAATCAGAATTACGTGCAAGAGAACAAGTCTCATTAAATTTAAATAACAATGTTGATAAAACTTATACAACTGAAACATTTTTTACAAGTAACAATAACTATGAAAAATCAAATTTTAACAGAAACTCCCGTCAATTTAATTACAGTAAGAAAGCTAAAGAAAATTCATACTTTAATAGAAATAATCCAACAAATATACCACAATTTATCAAATGCCTTTTTTGTGACAGATCACATAAATCACAATACTGCAAATTTATAACAGACATTGAAAATAGAAAACGAATAATTAGTGAAAAACATCTGTGTTTTAAATGTTTAGGAAGTGGTCATACATCAAAGAATTGTAAATCTAGTATCAAATGTTTTAAATGTGGTAATCAGCATCATATAGCACTTTGTCTAGAAAAACAGAATAGTGAATTACAAAAAGGTAAACTAACAGCCATTTCAGTTAACAATAATCAGTCCATTTTACTCCAAACTGCTTCCACTGATGTATTTGACATAAATGGCAGACTACATAATTTCAGAATACTTTTTGACAACTGTTCGCAGCTTAGCTACATATCACCTGATTTGTGTCGCAAATTAAAACTTGAATGTGTAGGAAAAAAGAATATTAACATTAAAACATTTGGAAATAATAGCAGTAGAGAAAATCTAGAAAAAGTTGAGTTAAAAATTAAATGCTTATTTGGAAAAGTTATAAAAATTAACTGTTATGTAAAAGATATTTGTGCGCCTCTCAATGGACAATATATAAATCTCGCTAAAAAGAAGTATAGACACTTACACAATTTAAGACTTGCAGATAGTAACTTTCAAAACGGGAATTTAGGGTCTTGATTGGGGCAGATTATTACTGGCTATTTATTGAAAATTCTATTATTAGGGGAAATTATTTTGATCCAATTGCCATTAAATCTAAGCTAGGTTATTTATTAAGTGGTCCTATTAATGTTAATAATATGTTTAAGAATAAAAATTATAATTGTTGTGTAAATACAGCTCATGTCATATTTGTTGAATCAAACTCATCTCCCAATTCATTAATTAAAGAATCCATGACATCTGTATGGGGTGTTAGAGAGATGAATGAGTGTAACTATGAGGTCATTGATAGGTTTCGTCACACTATTAAATATGATAATACCCTCAAACACTATAATGTTAACTTGCCCTTTAAAGAAGATCATCCTCCACTTAGTGATAACTTTGATTTATGTATCAAGCGTTTTAAAGGTCTTCAAAAGAAATTGAGTAAAGATGATTCTTTACTTAAATTATACAATGACATTTTTAAAGAACAATTACAGAACAACATTATTGAACGAGTTATTGATAAAAACAAATTTGAAAAAGTACACTACCTACCGCACCAACCAGTTCTGAGAAATGACAAAGTTACTTCTAAAGTCAGAATTGTCTTCGATGCAAGCAGTTCTGTTGATGGCCCTTCATTGAATGACTGTCTCTACCCTGGACCATCTTTAACCACATTTTTATATGGAATCTTATTGCGTTTTCGTGCCCAAAAAATTGCCTTTGTAGCAGACATTTAAAAAGCCTTCTTGCAGATTACATTATCTCCTGAAGATCGCGATTACGTCCGATTTTTGTGGTTCAAGAACATTAACGCACTTAATAAAGACAATATATTTAGTCAAAAAATTATTCCATATAGAATTTGCAGAGTTCTGTTTGGCGTTACATCTTCTTCCTTTCTTCTTTCTGCTACACTCATTACTCACGCTGAAAAGTACCTCTCTGATGATCCTATATTTGTTAATAAATTAATGAATTCTTTACATGTCGATGATCTGAACTCAGGAGCTGACTCAATTGACTCAGCCATTAATTTTTATCAAAAATGTCAAGATCGATTAAAAGAAGCTGGCTTTACTCCTAGAAAATTCGAATCGAACTGCAAACAACTTGAAAACGTAGTTAATGAACAAAACTTTACCTCCTTTAATCTTACTAAAGTATTAGGCTTATTATGGAATAAAAAAGAAGACAACTTAATCTTTGATTTTAGAAACTTGACACACAACGATGACTCGATTCCAACGAAACGTAAAGTTCTTCAGCTTATTGCAAGCATTTATGACCCACTTGGTATAATTAATCCATTTATAGTCAAGTGTAAAGTATTCTTTCAAAAACTAAGTATCAAAAAACTTAATTGGGACAGGCCTCTTGAGGGAAAAATGTTATTGGTGTGGCAAGCCATTATCAATGACATTCAATCCTCTAAACCCATTATCATTCCTAGGTGGTACAATAATAATTATTCAAATCATGTTGTTGACTTGTCATTGCATGGATTTAGTGATGCCAGTAATATAGCATTTGGTTGTTGTATATACTTGTTGTGTTCCTTTGATGATGAGCACAAAATATGTTCACTTATAACTGCTAAGTCTAGGATTGCCCAAATTAAAAATACCTCTATTCACCGACTTGAATTAAAGGCAGCCCTATTATTAGCTGAAACTATGTCAACTGTTAAAAGAGATTTATACCCTGTACTTAAATTTAAACAAATAGTCTGTTGGTGTGATTCTACTATAGTATTAAATTGGATTAATAATATTGATAAAGTTAAGCAGCCAATTTTACAAAAGAGACTTATAAAAATTAGAAAAACATTTGACATTTTGCATTGGCGATATATTGAAACACACAACAACCCTGCTGACATAATATCTAGAGGTACAAACTTAAAAACCTTATCTAGTAATAAAACATGGTTCAACGGACCAGCACTTCTTTATAATGATCCAAAGAACTGGCCAAAATTTGAATTAAGAAATGTAATTGATAAAATCGAAGAAATTACTACTAATTTAGTTTTAAATGAACATTATTTAGACTTAAGTATAATTGACATCACTCAATTTAATAACTACTTGCGATTGTTAAGAGTTACAGCCTTTGTACTACGATTTATTACTAATTTAAAACTTAAAAAAGATAAAAAACATTTAAAGTTATCTAATTTAGGTTCAATTGAAATAGAAAAAGCTTTTAAGACATGGATTATATTCGTTCAAAGAGCAATAACTACTGATAAAAATTTTAAGCAACTGCAACTAGACCTAAACTTAAAAAATATAGATGGAATCATACGATGCATTGGTCGACTACAAAATGCACCAATTACACACGACGCAAAAAACCCAATATTCATACCTCGAAATACAGAATTTACAAACTTAGTTATTTATCATTATCATTATTTAGTTATGCACAACGGCGTTAAAGAAACTTTAAACCAAATTCGAACTCAATTCTGGATACCTAAAGCTCGAAACTACATTAAAAAATTGATTAAAAAATGTCTTACTTGTAAACGCTTTGAAGGACTGCCTTATTCATATCCTTCTCCCCCTCCTTTACCCTTATGTTGTTTAAATACTGATCATGCATTCAAATTTACAGGTGTAGATTATGCAGGACCATTATACATTAAAAATATTTATGAGGGAAATAATTTATATAAAGTTTGGATATTTTTATTTACATGTGCTACTACACCTGCTTTATTTTTAGATCTTGTTCCGGACACTTCTGCTGAATCATGCATAAGAAGTTTACGGAGATTTTTTGCGAAACGTGACACACCTTCCGAAATTCTCTCAGACAATGGATCACAATTCACCTCCAATCTTACTCAAAACTTTACTTCATCTCTCGGTATCACGTGGCATTTCAACATCCCCGCTGCTCCGTGGTAGGGAGGGTTCTTTGAACGACTAGTTGGATCCACTAAACGCTGCCTTCGCAAAATAACACATAAAGATCAGCTTTCATACGAAGAACTGTTAACATTTCTTGCTGAAGTAGAATCAATATTGAACAATCGACCAATCACGTTTATGTATGAATCACCTGGAGACTTACCACTTACACCCAATCAAATAAAATAGCCGTCGGCGACGTTGTACTGATTCACGACTCAGACACCAGACGAGGTAATTGGAAGACAGGCATTGTTCAGAGCCTCAGTAAATCATCTGACGGACTCATCCGTGCTGCCAAAGTTAGATACATTATGAATGGAAAAACAATGTACATTCAAAGACCTGTAAATAAACTGTATTTATTAGAAGCATTAGACGCCACTATTGAAACAATGAAGATCAATTTCTGCGATGAAAAGGACATAAAACATTTCGTTATAAATTAATTGGGGGCGGGAATGTTGCGCTCACTAGCGCGGCAACGACTTCTTGTTATTTGTGTTATATTGTCAGCGGTTAATCCCGCGCTTTCTCTCTAACTCTTACTCTGCTTCTACGCGAACGTTGTAACTTCTTGAGCACGTTTTTACATTATTGTATATTATTATACGAGAATATATTAGTATACATATTAAAACAGTATGGTTTGTGAATGAACCACACAATCAGAACCAAATCTGACTCCAACATAAGCACCTATCATTCTTTGATATTTCCGAATCGTTAAAAAAAAAATAGAATTATACAAATGTGACATTATATTTTTTAGTTTAAATAGTAAAACACTAAACTTAACTTAAAAAAAAATTTACTGCACCAACAATTTCCAAAATAATTGTGTACAAAACTTGAGAGTGCAAATACTTTTATCAACAACTCATGTTAATAAAAGTATTATTTACTGATGGTGTAATTAAACTGATGATGCAAGACATGCGACAAAAAATAACAATGATGATTTAAACGACGATAATTAACTGGTAGCAAAGGCGTTAGTAGCTGATTATCAAATTGGTGAATAAGTTGATATTGAACATAATATACAATGGTATCCTGCAGTAACTCAAAATGAAATACGTTGTAACACTATAATACTTTATTTTTAAGTATTAGATCTCTTCACTAATTTATTATTTTAACTACTAATTTAATAATTTATTAATCACATTATTTAAATGTAAGAAATATTCAGGAAGCACCAATGATTAAAAGTTGTTTTATTCTTAACTCAAACATTAGGTTAACGACAATGACATATATGTTTCTCAAATGGAATATTTTATTGAACATGTAAAGATTTTTTTCAAGTGTCCATCCAGGGAAAAATTTCCCAAATATTCACCTTTTGACGTTGTTTGAATGATTAATAACAACTAATCGAAACGGGGCTGTTCTCTTTTTTAAAAATCGACATTGACAACGTGGAAATTCAGTTTGGCGATCGATAAACTTCTAAAAATCTTAATTTTTTTTATACTCTTAAAATAATTTTTTCTTATCAGTTTTTTATTGGAAAAAATGTTCATCTAAATTTTATATCATTGACAATGATACCCTTCAAAGCGTTCAATGTTTGGTTAAAAAAAGCTTAAAAAATTGATTTTATCAAGCACTCTTGAAGAGTTCCGTTAAAAAATTTTAATTTTAATTAGAGTACTAATTGTTCACGATATAAAGTAACAGTTGCATATCTATACCGCCGTTAGGGTATTTTGTAAGTTCATAATGTAACAACTCCTAGGACTTCTGTAAGCATTGTATTGCTTGAGCACATGACTTTTTTTCAGATGTTGGAAGATGTCTGTATAAGGAAACCAAATAACTTATACATTTCAAGGCAAACCTAAGGTTGTTATGGGTAATCTAACAAAGCACATTAACCGCAAAAATCCATTTTGGAACCTTACCTATTTGTTCACCTATTTGGCACCTTACCTATATCTTGCATGCACGTGATTTATTTTTATACATGAAATCAATTTATGTCTTCATGGTTTTAAAAACCAATAAAGGATTTTATGGGCAAATAAAGACCGTAGGAGATAATAATGCCTAAAGTACAAATATTTTTACAAAATGGGCCAAACTTTGGGAAATTGTTTATTAAGTTGCAAAGGTGCAACTTACTAAACAATTTTGTTGGTAATATTAAAAAGTTAAATTTTAAAAAGAAAAGTTATAATTTTTTATTCACTTCAATATTTTTTTTTTATGAGTAAAATAAAAATTTTAGGCTTTGTTTATAAGTTTTATTTTTTAGTTAAAAGTAACAAATGTTGTATATATTAATTTCCCAAAAAACGTTTGACTCTGCTATCCCAAACTTTTAGTTAAGCTTACATCGTTTAATGTAAGAGCATTCTAAATTGGATTTCTGTATATCTCACCAATAGATATCAACAAGTTAAGGCTCTTAGTTTTCTATCAAACTCAATAAGCATTGTTAGTGGAGTTCCACAGTGTAGTGTGTTAGGCCCTATATTGCTTTTATATTATATAATAATAATTTAACTGCCTCTAATAATCTAGATTGTTGTTTTAAACTTTATTCTGATTATATAAATTTATATAGTTTGTAACGTAACATGGATCTAAGCCAAGATTTAGCAGTTGCTCTAAATAGACTTGTACTCTGAGCAGAACAGCACCTCCCACATTATGCAAAGGTATTAAGAATAACTATAAATTAGGTGAGTGTACTCTGGCTTGGTCTTCTAACCCAAAAGATCTAGGAATAACAATGGAATGTAATTTTAATTTCAAAAAACATATTTCTAAAGTCATTCATCAAGCTAACTAGAGCATACTGATTCAAGATTAAGAACCTTAAAAGTAAATTCAAAAGTAAGAAAGGATTTAGGTTTTTATTTGTTCCCAGGATTCAGTCATCTCATTTTTTTGCAAATGTTCCTTATTTGACATAACTAAAAGCCCGAAGAAATTCTTACTAAGGACTACTTCGGGCACCTGAAGAAAAAAAAAAATTAAAAGATAGAAAATAAATAATATTACCTATGAAAAATTCGTTATGAAAAAAAAAAAAATTACAAAAATTATTTACTAAATAATTGCAATAATTTATTTATTAAACGAAAACCTTCCAAAATAAAACTTGAATTCGCATTTTGACCATGAGTTTTTATTAAAGTAAAGTTTAAGGTTAGCGATCGTGTAATACGCTATCTGGAAAAATATCTGATTTTTAAAGGTTTAGTTAATGCAAAACTGTGTACTTTATTTTCACTGGGTGAATTAATTTAAATTTGTTAACAAAAAAATAAAACAAAACAATAAACTTACAACAACAAAAGTAATAACAATATTGTCACTAACTGTGTTATAAAAGTGCACTTTATAAGTGTTATTACTTTTATAACGCACTTTATTCATGTTCAAACAACACTTAAGGTTAAATAAAAAATAGTTAAATAAGTAGTTCCAAAGTTTTACTGAAATAGAAATCTAGAAAAAATGAAGTAGATATTTAAATTGCTCTTCCGCGGTAAAAAATAAAATAAGATCCTTTTTACATTTGTAAAAATAACCTCCAACTTAGATTTATTTGGTCTAACAAAGCATAAGAAATTTGCACTCTTTGATGAAGCTGAATACTACACAACATTTTCTTGACACAAACAACAAGTACAAACTTTTTGTACTTTTTGTATTTTTATATAAGTTTGTAATTTAACATTAATTTGTAATTTAGAATGTTATGACGTAACATATGTAATGATGTTATGACGTAATAATAAATAGTTAAATCCTTAAAAACTACAAAATAACTTTCCAATTAAAAAAATTAGAATTAAAAAGTAACAATTTTTATATCTTTTATATACAAGCGTGGGAGGAAGAGGGTTGTTGGGTGCGATCTACTTTTTTGTACTGAGGGACCTTTTTTAATTTGACAACAAAAGTCACTTTCATAATTTTTTTTAATTTTTCAATCTAAAAATGTTTAAATATTACCATTGATTTACAAAGTTTTTACGTAAATAATTTAATGCACAATTTTAAATAAGCTAAGTGGAAAAGAAAATAAACAATTAATTTAAAACAAATGTAGAAAACGAGCAGCTGATATAAAAGAGTTTCGAAATGCTGCAAAGAAATGCAAATCGCTCATTGGATATTTTGAGTAAAAACGTTCTTTTGGTGTTTTTTTAATAGTTCTTACGTTTACTCTTTTTTTTTTTTTTTTACTGTTTTTTGTTACATTTAAATCTTTGTTACAAAGTTTCATTTTTTAACTTAATTGTTTATGACTTAAAAGTTTCTATAGGAGTTAACATAAGTTCTTAAGTTCAAACTTTTTTTAAGGTGGTAGACTGCTAAATAAGTTAGAAAAATCGATTTTTCAAAAGACGCATTATCTTAAACAGTAACTGTTGCAAAGTCTAAAAATATATAGATCTTCATATGAGAAAAATAAGTTTAGTACTTATAAAAGAGAATTATTTGAGCAGGGTAGTTTTGTTTACCCTAGCAACGCTCATAGCAACGGCTAGTTAAGGATAGAAATTAAAAAAAGTTTAAAAAAAAAGAAAAAATCTTTGAGAAGCTTGGAAAAGGTTTGATGATAAATACAATGATGAGGAGGAACAGTACACAAACAAGGGGGTTTTAACCTGTTTTTAGTTTGTATATTCAATATTTTTAATTTTATATGCATTTTATTCTGCTTTATACTTCTTATTTTCTGGCGAAGATTGCAAGAGCTGGAACTGTCCAATTGAAACTGTAATTGTCCAATTGGAACTGTAGTTGTCCAATTAAAACTGTAATTGTCCAATTTTCTACAAACTTTTCTACAGAGATTCATTATGCTTTATGTCCTGAAATAAAAAAAATTAAGAAAACAAATTAAAAAAAAAATTTCGGTTTATTATATCAAAAATTTGATTTTTAATTAGGCAAAAATCTTGACATGTTTTAAAGCAAAGAAATTTTCAACAAAATTTTTTATCTTAGGACGTTTATTTACATAAAAA